CGCCCCGGGCCCGGCGGCACCGGGGACCACCGGCACCGGCAGCACCGGGACCCCTGGACCGGCACCGGGACCACCGGAACCCTTGGACCGGCACCGGGACCCCTTTACCGGCACCGGCACCACCGGCACAGGAACCCCTTTACCGGCACCGGGACCCCTATACCGGCACCGGGACCACCGGCACCACCGGCACCGGGAGCCCCCGAACCCCCTGGACCGGCACCGGGACCCCTGAACGGGCACCGGGACCACCGGGACCACTGGCACCGGGGACCACCGGCACCCTTGGACCAGCACCGGGACCCCTATACCGGCACCGGGACCCCTATACCGGCACCGGGAGCCCTGGAACCCCTATACCAGGACCGGGAGCCCCGACACCCCTGGACCAGCACCGGGACCCCTATACCGGCATCGGGACTCCCATACCGGCACCGGGACCACCGGCACCACCGGCATCAGGACCCCTATACCGGCACCGGGACCCCAGCACCGGGAGCCCTGGCACCCCTGAATCGGCACTTGGACCCCTCTACCGGCACCGGGACCACCGGGACCACCAGCTCCGGGAGCGCCAGAACCCTTGGACCAGCCCCGGGACCCCTCTACCGGCACCGGGACCCCTATAATGGCACTGGGACCCCAATATTGGCACCCAGGACCACCAGTACCAGGACCCCTATACTGGAACTGGGACCACTGGCACCTGGGACCCAAATACCAGCACCCAGGACCACCAGCACTGGGACCCCTATAATGGCACTGGGACCCCAATAACAGCACTGGGGCCACCAGTACCAGGACCCCTATACTGGTACTGGGACCACCAGGACTGGGACCCCAGTACCAGCACCAGGACCCCAATACCAGCACTGGGACCACCAGTACCAGGACCCCTGTACCGGCACTGGGACCACTGGCACTGGGACTCCAATACCAGCACTGAGACCCCAAAACCAGCACCCAGGACCACTGGCACTGGGATGCCTATAATGGCACTGGGACCCCTATACGCCCTGGAACCCCTATACCAGGACCGGGAGCCCCGACACCCCTGGACCAGCACCGGGACCCCTATACCGGCATCGGGACTCCCATAC